ATGGCTATGATCGCTCATTTTCTGCTGCTTGATACCAAGTAAGTGATAATGGTGACAGGAAATATGTACTTGCTTTGTAAGTCAGTTAGCAATGTAGCCTGCATTGTATACATTTCTCCTTTATAATACATATTTAGAGAAGTCAAGCCTATATTAGAGCTTATCACATTTTTAAATAAGCTGAATTACCTCTTCCATTTTAAAGTTGAATGCAGGATGCAACCAGGTATAATCACACAGAAAATGCCATCGATGCTGCTGCCCGGCTGCATCCCACCTAAAACCCGGCTAGAAGCCATGCTCAGATGGCCATTTTGCAAAGTCCAGGTTTTAGGCAGTATGCAGCTGGGAAGCAGCATCGATGGCATTTTCTCTGTTATAATCCCCCATTCGACTTTAAAAAGGAAGAGGTAAGTCAGCTTTTAAAAATGCAATAAGTTTCATAGTCTAACCTTGGCTCACTTAAATAACCCAAGCCAGCCAACAGACCTAAGCAAGTGAAATGACACCTGAAATAGTAATGAACCATTGTCAATGATTGCTATTGTCTGAGTTTTGAAATACAAATTGGTTCTTCCTTATCCCAAATTCTGAAATTCTCCAAAAACCAATTTTTTTCATGGATGGCTGACATAGTGACACCTTTACTTTCTGATGGTTCAGTGTACACAAACTTTGTTTTATGCACAAAATTATTAAAAATATTGTATAAAATTACCTTCAGACTATATGTATAAGGTTACATGAAATATAAATGACTTTTGTGTCCAAGATCTCTCATTATGCATGTATATACAAATATAAGTATTCTAAAACAAACAAACAAACAAACAAACAAACAAACAAATAAATAAATAAATAAATAAATCCATCCCAGAAACCCTCAATTGGCCTGGCCAACCAATCCCTATTTCACATGCTGGCTAAGGGATTCTGAGAATTGAAGTCTAAAAGTAGCAATTGCAAATTCTGCTTATGCTAAGCATTGGTTCTTTTAACCCATCCTTTCAACATAATATGGTCTACCCAGGGTTACAGGTTTGTAATATGTATAAACTGTGAAACAGGCTATATGCAGTGGCATCATTGGGGGACGTGGTGGTGCAGGCCACCCCTTACACCATCCCCATGCTCCCCCTTACACCATCCCAGTGCTCCCCATATGTGCTTATCTCCACAAAGTCCTGGGCTCCCCCCACTCTCCCCATGCTATCCCTCCACTCCCACCCACCACAAACTTCCCCTCCCATGAGCACTCCTCCTATGCCATCCACACACTGCCATCCCCACACACTCCCATTCCCCTTGCGTCATCCTGTCCTTTTCCTCATCAGGAAAAGGATAGGGCAGTACAGGGGAAGGAAGCATGTGCTGCCCCCAGAAGCCCTGGCCCCCCACACTGGGTGACGCCTGGTGCGGGGACACCACTGGCTATATGAATACATTTAAGGGGCACAGGGTCATGTGCATTGGCTCCATTCTAATGACTCACTCTCATGCACCTACGCCTCATACACACTGGCAGATAGCTTTGAAGGAGGCTTGAACTGATATGAATGTGAGTAGAGACAGTATGTTCACATTCATTGTGATATGATATATAACTGATATGACTCATCATTGTGATATGTAACTGATATGAATGTGAGTAGAGACAGTATGAGAGCCAGAGTGGCATAGTGGTTTGAGTGCTGGACTGTGACTCTGGAGAGCAGGGTTTGATTCCCAGCTCGGCCATGGAAACCCACTGGATGACCTTGAGCAAGTCATACTATCTCTGCCTCAGGGGAAGGCAATGACAAACCTCTTCTGAACAAATCTTGCCAAGAAAACCCCATGATAGGGTCGCTTTAGGGTTGCTGTAAGTTAGTTCATTATATTTCATGTGAAGGCTATGAAAACTTTCAAGAGTAGAAAGGTAAATGTTTCAGTCCCCAACTTTTGTTTTAAAATTTTTTTGTAATATTTAATGTTAAGGTTTAAAAATGGCTCCAACCATTGCTCAGTGGCTCCTTAGGAAATCATAAACATAAAACTGTAAAATTTGGAATCAGATGGCAGTGCTGATAAATCCTATCCTGTACTTGTCAGGATCTTAGGCACCAGTGATCAAGGCTGACAAACTGGACTTTATTATTTCTTAATCTTGTAATCAGGTTGCTTTAAAGATTCAGTTTGTATCTATCTGTCAACACCTTGAAAGTCTGTATTGGCCACAGGAGAATGATAGAAAAATACAGTAGAGTACTAGCTGCAATAAACAGTTTCACTATAGCTATAGGTATAACTCCATGAATTCATGGAATGGATGGACTCAACTGTTATATTAAAATGTTGATTTTAATTAGAACCTTTCCTAGTGGAAAGTGAAAAAGTCAGTGCTGTAACCTATGTACAACCTTGCATCCAGGGAACAAATAGATTAAAAGATGTTAACCGAACTTTATATGTATAGAACTGCAAGCAAGAGTTTGACCAGCAGACACAAGAAAAGTAAGGATGCTTAAACACATACATTGTATGCTCATGGATGATATGATAATCCATATATGTTAGTTATTACAGCTATACTGTGGGTCCTTGGTATCCATTGGGGTTTGGTTCCAGAACCCCCTGTGGATATCAAAATCAGTGGATGTTCAAGTCCCATCAAATGCAATGCCATGGTAAAATGGTGTCTATTACATAAAATGGCAAAATCAAAGCTTGCTTTTTGAAATGTATATATTTTTAAATATTTTCAAGCTATGGATGGTTGAGTTGTGGCTAAATATGCATGGATACGGAGGACTAACTGTATATTACTTCCAGAATTAGAAGCAGGCTATGCAAAACATATTCAGTACAGCACTATTGCGCTAACATCCTGTTGAGCTCCATAGATTTTTGGTCTATGGTAATTCAGCATGGCTTTTCTTATGTTCTTATATTTTAATGAAAAATTAAGATAAAACAGATATAATCCAGGTCTCAGGCAAACAATTATTGATGACAATTTGTGTGATTTAGTGGGTATGGTGCAAGATGACAACTAAGGTCTAATCCTCACATAATTTCAGATGGTCATCTTCTTTCACTCTATCTGCCTAACCTATTAAAGGAGTGGTTTGAATGTTGGACTATGACTCTGGAGACTAGGCTTTGAATCCCAGCTCAGCCATGTAAACCCACTTGAGCCAGTTACACACTCTCAGCCTCAGAGGGCAGCAATGGCTAACCCTGAAGAAACTTGCGAAGAAATCACTATGATAGGTTTGCCTTAAGGTCAGCATAAGTCGGAAACAATAACAACAAACCAAAGCCTAACCTATACCTCATTGCTGTGGGGAGTGCTTCATGTACTACTCTGAACTCCTCTGAGGAATGACAGTAAAATGATACATGCAACTGATCACCCATCACACTGAAATGGCCAGCCTACTCTATTTATATGGAGTGTTAGCATGTCAATAATTAGTGGCCTAGTTATTTTATCAATAGCACATATCATCTGTTTGGGCTCTTTTTCGTTTAGTTCCCCCCCCCCCAGTTCAATAACTTGCTGAGCACGTGTAATATACTCTATGAGCATAATGGGGGAATTCATGGCAGTGTAATATACTAACCAAGTATGGGGCTGAGGCTGGGACTGTCACAATTTGATTTTCTACACTTCAGGACTAGTACATTTGTTTCTGTGTATATGCTTTTTTTCAAATGTTTGGTGCTGCATGAATCCCATTAGGCAATGACAACTGTGGTGATAGTGGTCTCTGGTAGATGTTCTCTGTCTCTTTCACACTATACAAATATAGCTCTTTTATACCTCTTTACCTTCCATGGCTCTATCCATGGAATTTTGAGATTTGTCATATGGGCTGATACTAGAGCTTTCTGAAGCCATGACAAAATGGTATCCAATTGCTATGTTGTGTAGCATCAAAGAGAGACTATAGATTGTCAGCCACTCTGAGAGCAGGTTTATCCAATCTAGTAGAAAACAACAAAAGTTCCCAAGGCAAAAACCAAGATGTATAACAAAAAA